AAAAAAAAACCCAAAAAACTACCTTTGAAACCAGAAATAATCTGTTTTAATATAAAGGTAAAATATTAAAGAGAAAATAATGGGCATAATAATGTGGGGGCTGCTCAGAAAGACCAAATCCCCCTGTTTCTCAAAAACAAACCCATCCAAAAGGGCAGAGCAGAAGGTGAGGTTTTGCTTGGGGGTCATCTATATTCCAATTAGCTTTCTTCTCCATATTAAATAAGGCAGTTTGAAGTAAGTTTTTTAAAGTGGTTTCAAACAACTTGAAAAAAACACCCCAAATGCTCTAGTCCAAAGCCAGAACAGTTCTGTACGGTCTGCAGATAATTTAATATTTGAGAAGCCTTTTCAACATTCTCCAATTCCAACCAAAACGAAAGCAATACTTAGGGGGAAAAACAAATGATTAAGCAAATAAAACCTAATATCTATAAAATTATACACAGATCAAACAACATGGGGACAATGAAAGAGAGCAGCATTTCAGCTAATTCAAGTTCAAAATCATGGAACAACCATTCATTGTTTATTCACATATAAATATCCACTAATCTAAAAACAACAAATATTCTGGGTAATTTTACCAATATATTAGGGATAAATTGATTCCTTAGTCAAAGGGCAAAGTTAATTGTTTAAGTTGATTAATTTTGGGCATTATAAATATAAAATGCTGAGTCTTCTCCATTTTCTCTAGCCTTTCTTCTCCCCACCCCAACACAAACACAACATCATGTCAAGTTGAGGCTTCAGAAGATATAGAAAAAATGCAAGGACGTTTATGAAGCAGGATCTCCCTACGGTTCTGTCTGCCCTCTTCTGCTTACCCCCTTTATTTTGGAGCATGGTCCCTTCTACATGCCAGTCCTAAGCCAACCCTCACCCTCACTGCCAGTCATGGCCCCCTGCTTGCACAGGCTGGCTGCTGACCCAGCTGGACACCCTCCGGACAGCCATGGCTGCAGCAGTGAGTTTCATCCAGATCTGTCCAGTGAGAGACCTTTCCTGGAATTTTCCCCATTGCAACTGTTTCAGGAGTGAAGCCAAGAACTGGGGGCCAGTGCTCCCTGGAAGCAGCCTTGGAGAGAAGGCAGCCTAAGAGCATGGATTCTCCATGCAGAGAGATGCAAAGAGAAGCTTGGGCAAGAATGGGGGCAACATGAGATGCCGACATAGACCTGACTGCCTGCACCTGCCTTCCCACACCGTGGTCAGAAAAACAATGCATTTCCCTTTAAGCTTAAGTGAGCTTGAGCTTCAGGTGTCTGTTATTTGTACTGAAGGCGCCCTGACTCATGCTGCTGGTACTAGTTTGGGCTTTCTCAGAGGCCAAGAACTTTCTGGGCTGTCTTCCTAGTCCCAGTCCTGGTAATGCCTTTGCAGCTCACGATGGGTGGCCTCCAAGCTCCCATTTCTGCTCTGTGACCCTGTCCCCTCCCCCTGCCTGTTTCACTGACCCAAGGATAGTACTTGATTCAATCTGGACGTTCAAGTTTTGATCTGAGAGAGAAGTTGAGTGAGCAGAGCTCTGTGAGACATTGGCCTCTGAAGGGAGAGGAGGACACTCTCAAAGTCAACCTGGTTCTCGCCCTTCTTGAGACTGACCTTGACTCCACCATGTTGGATCCCATGAGCTCCTCAGTCCCTTCAAGGCTCTCTACCCTCTCTTTCTTCTCCCTGCCCCACCACCCCACCCTTCAGCTGTTGCAGCTGGTTTATTCTTCAAGCCAAAAAAACATGAAACTAAACACCAGCAAATTGTGGCTGGAAATCACTGGCTAGGATAGGAAAGATAAGATCTCAATAAAAATCAGCTTGAGGGCCTCCCTGGTGGCGCAATGGGTTAAGACACAACCTATGAAGATGTCCGCAGCCACTGCAGCACAAGTTCAATCCCCGGCCAGGGAGCTGACCCACATGGTGCAGCAGACCTCTCCTGTCTCCCCTGCTGCTCCCCTCAGCAGTGTATTTCAGTAGATCTGCCTGTTCTGGTGCCCACTTTGTCCAGTGAATCCTCTCACCACCACCCCGTACCTCTGGCCTGCACCCCAGTTCTTGTATGCATAAATAAATCTTTGGGAAAAAAAAAAAGACACCTTGAAGAGACAGAACTGATAAGGCCTGGGTGACTGTCAGGCTGTTGGGATGTGGTGTTAAGTAATTCACATGGTGATGTAACTGTCGCAGCCATTTAGCTCCAGAACTTTTCTCATCTTCCCAGCTGAAACTCTGCTCATGAACAGTGACTCCCATCCCCACCTGCCTGGCCACCAGCCTTCTCCTCTGTCTCTCTGAACCTAACCAGTGTAGGGACGTCATATCGATGGACTCATAGTATTTGTCCTCTGTGACAGGCTGCTTTCTCTTGGTGCCAAGTCCTCCAGGTTCATCCACACTGTAACCTGGGACAGAATATCCTTCTTTTTAAGGCTGAATCACAATCCGTTGAGTGGGTGGACCACGTTTTGTTTACCCTTTCCTTCCTCGATGGATATGTGGGTTGCTTCCACCTTTTGGCTATTGTGAATGATGTGGAAGCTATAAACGCATGTGTTCAAATATTCCCAGAGATAGTTTTTCAAAGCATTCATGGGATTTGAACCCGTAGCCAGGGCTGAGAATCATGGGTGCATGGCGGTTCCTGATGGTGAGGGGTGCAGAGGAGTTGTGCCATCTGAGTTGGCCCTGCTCTGACATGCTAATTACAGAGCTTGTGATATCAAGTCCCCCACAGCTTATACCTGTGCCTCTGCTGGTAGATGTAGAGACCCAGAAGGGCAACATAGGTTTTGTTACCTCAGTATCTCCCAATCTCACTCCAGGCCTGGCATACAACCAATGCATAACCCCGCCCACAATGCAAACCAATCACTCCCTCCTGCTACCAAAAACCATGTAGCTTCGCACTGGGCCAGGCTCTGGCTGGTGGCCCTAGAGGGGCTTGGGTCTGCACAAGGTCTGAGATCTTTATGAAGTAAATTCTGAGTGTAGGGGGCCTCCCTGGTGGTGCAGGGGGTTGAGCACAGCGCTGTGAAGCTGTCCACAGCCTCTGCAGTGCTGGTTCAATCCCCGCTGGCCACGGAGATACCCACATGGTGGGACAGACCTCTCCTGTCTCACCCGCTGCTCCCCTCAGCAGTATATTTCAGTCAGTCTGACTGTTCTGTTCCCTGCTCTGTCTCTGGTGAATCCCCTCACCCTCCCGCACATCTGGCCTGTACCCTGGTTCTTGTATAAATAAATAAATCTTAAAAAAATATAAAATAAATAAATTCTGAGAGTAAAGAGTCCCAGCGGTGGTGGTGGGACAGGAGCAGAGGTGCACTGGCCCCCAGCTCCAGCCTCTCCTGGGACAGGGCTCCCCAAAGAGGGACTGAACGAGGCTCCTGGCATCAAAACGACAGGTCTAACGGGCCTTCCCCACAAACACCTGCTTCTCCAAACCCATAACCCACTTTAAAGGGGAAGGGAAAACAAGCAGCTGTAATTCCCCAGGTGGGTTTTCTCTGCCCTCTATTCACATCATCCGCTCTACTTTCTCATATATATTTTGGTTTTAATTTTACCCTGAGTTCCCAAGACCATTTTTCATCGTTTCTAAAACCCACGGAAGTTATAAAAAGTAGCCCCAGATAAAAGAAATGCTAAATCACCCGGGAGAATTCGGCTTCCTTCCATATTTAAGTCTGTGGACATATTTGGAGATAACCTCTTTATACTGTGAGGTGTAGCTTATCCAGAAGTCCCCTCCCCTCCTGCCCCGCCAGCTGAGGCCATCAGGAGCCCTGGGGTGGGCACAGCAGGGATGAGCCTCCTCTGCAGGGAGGCCAGGGACACTGGCCCCAGATGCTCCTGGGGCGATTTCAAGATCTGGGCCCCTTTCGCCGAGTCTGGGCCAGGACTGGGGTGCGGAGGGGGCAGGGGACAAAGAGGCAGAGTCGGATCTTGCCTTTAGTTAAAAGTTGGATATTTTGTTCATCTTGGATACTATTTGCATTAATTTGGAGCAAAGAAAAGGGTGCATTCAAATCACTGCTCTCGACTCCACTGTTTGCCACACGCGAGGCCTCCACCCTAGACGCTAAGGGCTCAGCACCTCCCTGCTTTCCGCGGAGTCAGGGTTTGTACTTTTAAGATGAAAGGGGGCGCGGGGCTGAATTGTGGAGTGTTCCCTGAAGCCCTAGGCCCGTCCTCTGGGCTTCCTCCCCGCTGGATCTTGGCCTCTACCTTTTTGACCTACTCTCCCCCAAACCTGCTCCCTTTTCCCCTCTCCTCCCCCTTGCCAGCCAATAGAGGCCCCAGAAAGAGCCCCACATGGTGGGGGGGGGTTCTTCCCTCCCAGGTCTGGTCTAGCCCCGTTTCTGCGTTCACACTGAGGGCACATTAGCGGGGAACAATCTCTCTCTGCAGTCCTTCTCAACACAATGCTGAACCAGGGCCGCTCTGCTCTGGCACTGCAAGGCAGTGGACCGCCCCAGACAAGTGCTCAGAGGCCACGTGACCTGGGGTACCCCGCCTCCAAGGAGACCATTCCTAATGTGGCAAAATGCAGACTTTCCAACACAGAGGCGTCTCCCTGGGTGCACCCCTGGGACAGCGCAAAGAAAATGAGCTCTGATTCTGGGGGCCCTTGTCCTGTGAGGCCAGCTGAGGCCCTGCAACTTCAGGTCCTGCTCTGTGGGGTCTGAAGCAGGGCATTGCGGCCACGCCATCACCCCCCCAGCCCTACCCCGGCATGTCTCCTGGCACTGCCGGGTTTACAGCAGCAAACCCACATGAAAACAAAGGACGTGGGCCTCCATCACCGTGCCAGCCGACCTTCAGCCTAGCCCAGCTCAGCCTCCTGGGCAATGTCTTGAAGCCTCATTCCTGGTATTAATCACTGGCTGGCTGGGGGACATCATCGCACAGGCAAATAGCCCCAGAACACGCACCCGAGGCGCGCACTGACACGTGGCCCCGACTCCAGCCCAGCAAGCCCCGACACGAAGCCTTACCAGCACGGTGTGCATCCCGGTGTAGAGTCGGCTGAGACACACCAAGGCGGAGAACACCACGGCCAGCACCAGGCCCAGGGCGAAAGGGTACTGCGGGGCGGAGAGAATGGGTGGAAGGAGGTGAGACTGTGCTGCAGGGGCCACCTGCCAGGGAACGGCGCGCCCCAACACCCCCAACCCCAGAGGCTGCGCTGGATCCCGCGTCCCTGGACCAGCACTGGATGAGCAAACAGGGCAACCCAAGGCGCGAGGAGGGGAGGGGGTCTGAGGATGCTGTACAGAAGCAAACATGCAACTAAGACTTGTGACGGGGCTGCTGAGCTGGCAGGTTTAGAGGACTATATAACGTCCTGATGTCTATCTACTTTTAAGTAAAATTTATGAAACACTGGGTATTGAGCAAGGGACAAGGTGGGCAGGCAGGGCTGGCACCTGACTTCCCCAGCCATTGCCTGTCACATGCTGAGGTGACAGAGCCTGGGAACAGCCAGCTCCTCAAAGCAGCCCCAGACAATGGGCCCGGCTAAGAAGGGGCCTGTTCATGGGCAGATGTCAAGGCCGAAGTCCAGGGGTTATGAAATCTCCACAGCTGCTGGTGGGGAACCGCTGCAGCCGGAGGACCTGGGCTAGTGCTGAGTCACTTGAGGAACATACGGGTACTCTGGACCTGAGCTGCAGGTACAGATGCGATTCGTGGCCTTTCTCGGGGATGGGAAAAGAGTACAGACCACAGAGTAGTGCCTATCTTCTGCAAAGCACAGGCGGCCCCTGCCTCCTTGACTCTTCACAGGGCCCCAGAGGTAGGTTCAATTCCTGGCCCCATCTATAGTCAAGGGCACCTTTAACTTGATGGTAAGTCACATTCGTCTCGAACTTGAGCAGCAATCTGCACCCCCATCACCCACCACCTTCAATCCTCCCCACGGAAGCTGCGGCTCAGACAGGGAAAAATTCCCCTCTGTGACAGAATCTGAGGGCAAGTCCACGGTGTGTCCCCTGCAACGTGTGACTACATCACCATGTAGGTTGTAGGTCTTTTCTTAAATTTTACCAGTAGATCTCAGATTTTCATTTAAGGAAAAGCTCTAGAATTTCATGAATGCATGCAATCAGAAATTAAAGTTTGGGCATGAGCTTCAACATATGTAAGTGAGCCTGTATTTAGAGTTGCTTAGAGCAAATGACATAAATAGTTCAATATATTGATCATTAGAACTTGATAGGAAAGAGGCATGCAGACCTCGCCTGCTGCCTGCTGCTCCCCTCAGCAGTGTACTTCGGTCCTTCTGCCTTCTGCCTGCTCTGCTCCCAGCTCTGGCTCTGGTGAAGTCTCTCACCCCCCCCGCACTTCTGACTGTACCCAGTGCTTGTATTAATAAATAAATAAATCTTTAAAAAAAAAAAAACCTTTATAGGAAAGAAGTCTGTGACAGTCTGGGCCTTATGAAAATGGCTGTATCTCTTTTCAGAGGGGAGAGGTGGAAAGAATTTTTAAGAAAGACCAGGAAACACAGAAATGAGTATATAGGGGAACTCCCTGGACCTAGGGGTTAAGTCTCAACGCTATCACCGCTACAGCCTGAGTTTGATCCCCAGCCAGGGAGCTGACCCATATGCGTAGCAGACCTCTCCTGCCTCACCCGCTGCTCCCCTCAGCAGTGTATTTCAGTAGATACGCCCCTTCTGTTCCCCACTCTGTCTCTGGTGAATCCTCTCACCCCCACAACTCTGGCCTACACCTTAGTTCTTCTATGCACCAAAAAAAAAAAAAAAAAAAAAAAGTATATGAAGGATGATGATGAATTTTTTGCTGCTGTTTTCCTGAACAATATCCTCATGCTTACAGGTCCCTCTGGATGGGGGAGCAGCCCCTGGGGTTGGGCCCACCATGACACAGCACAGCTCAGAGCTCTGCCTCAAACTAGACAGATGCTAGGAGGGAGTGCAGAGGTTTTTTTCATGCTGGAGTGACATTTAAGTAAGTCACAACAATTATATACTTAGTCGGACATACTCCTGAGAGCTGCCCCTACCCCAGTCAGGAAAGTGAGGTCTAGCTCCAGGTGACAGAGGAAGAGCCAGGACCCAAGACTTATCCTGTCCTCCTCCAGAGCCACATCAGGCTGACACTCCTATCTCTGCCCCACTGCAAATAGTACCCGTCCCCCTAGGTTTCTGGGGTGAAGGGGCAGGGAGAAAAATGACTGTCATTCACATATAAGTCAGCTTGGTTCATAGTAATGAAATCTTCCAGAGGGTAAAGGTAAAATGCATGACACTGCACACAAATTTAGTGCAAGAGTTCTCAACTCGGAGAAACACAGCCTGGCTGCAGTAACAATAGTTGACTTTTAAACCGTCTTACTATAATTGGCATCTAAGCAGATATTAATTGAAATTCTTTCATTTTCAACATTTATTAATCTGTCATTTAGACAGTTTTCTAGAAAACATGGGAGGGATTATTTCTAATGGCAGAGCTCCAACCAGGGGCGGAGTCATCCTTGGGGGCTAATTTGGGGCGCAGACTCTTTTCTGCCCCTGAGTCAGGTGTCTAGCAGAAGGATTTGGTGGGATCATCTCACCCTGGAGGGTCATTTACTAGGATCACAAACTACTCGTGTCTGAGGCCAACAGGATGACATGCTAGTTCAAGTGCTGTCTAGTCGGGTGGCTCAGGGAGAAAACGCTCCTAGAGATGGGGGGACACCTTCCCTGGTCCCCTGGAATGGCCATGTTATGTGTCTTATGCTGCTGTCTGTGAACAGTGTCTACTTCTCAGGCACAATTGGATGTAGATGCTGATTTAGACGGTCACTTTATAGGTGAGGAAATTTTCACTGGTGGCCCAAGAGGCTCAGTTCCCTTTAGCCTTTATTTCCTGAACCTCAAAGCCTCTCAAAGCAGTTTATTTATTCATTTTTGAAAAGATTTTATTTAGTTATTTTGCATAGAATAACTGGGGTGTAGACCTAGAGGTGTAGGGGTAGGAGGGTTCAAACAGAGACAGAGTGGGGAGCAGAACAGGAGGATCCACTGAAACACACTACTGAGGGGAGCAGCAGATGAGACAGGAGAAGTCTGCTGTTCCCTGTGGGTAGCTCCCTGGCTGGAGATCGAACTTGTTCTGCAATGGCTGGGGAAAGCTTCCTAGTGCTAAGATTTAACCCCTTGTACCACCAGGGAGGCCCCTATACCACATTTTCTTTTAAAACTGATTTTATTTTTGAAAGTTGAATATTTGAGGGAATATAGTGGGGAAAGAGGGTGACAGACTATGTTGATGAAAGGGCTGAGGAGCAGAGCAGGCAGATCTACTGAAACACACTGCTGAGGGGAGCAGAGGGCGGGACAGGAGAGGTCTGCTGCGCCATGTGGGTCAGCTCCCTGGTGGGGATTGAACTCAGGCCTCTGCAGTGATAGCACTGAGACTTAACCCCTAGGCCACCAGGGAGGCCCCTCAAAGCAGTTTTAAAGGAAAATTCTGAAGCAGAAGCTGGTTTTGCTGCCTTACTCTATGGGATAGTGTTAAGGGGGAGAGTCAGGCGGCCTTACCTGGTACCTGTCCATTGTTGAGATGAGGAGCGTGAAGGAAATAGCAGTGGCCGCCATGGCGTGGGTAGACGGCATCCCGAACTCAGCCATGATCCTCTTTTCCAGCTTTACCACAGGAGGTGAGAATGGGCGGGGCCACTTCAAGATATCCTTGGCCACCTGGCCCACATACATCACCAACTGCAAAACCAAAGCACTGAGGTGAGCCTGACCAAAGAAGCAAAATACAAGCACCCCAGAATGCATGAGCTTATTTTTGGATTCTCTGTTGGCTGAAATCCCAGTTACCTATTGGGGAAGCCTTGCAGGATATTTCAGTTGATAAAAAGAGAAAGAGACCTTTTGGATTCCACAGGACATTAACACATTTATTTATTTATTTTAAAATTATTTATTTATTTATGCATATAAGAACTGGGGTACAGGCCAGAGGTGCAGGGGGTGAGAGGATTCACCAGAGACAGAGTGGGGAGCAGAACAGGCAGATCCACTGAAATACACTGCTGAGGGGAGCAGTGGGCAAGACAGGAGAGGTCTGCTGCACCATGTGGGTAGCTCCCTGGCCGGGGACTGAACTCATGCTGCAGTGGCTGCAGATTGCTTCATATTGCTGTGCTTTAATCCTTGCACCACCAGGGAGGCCCCTGGACATTAACACACTTAGTCACACATTTAAGACTCACCTCCTCATACATGTGCCTGGCACTGCTATAAGAGCTTACAAATATTAACTCACTTGATCCAGGAACACCTATAGGCTGCAGACCCATCTGACAGACAAGTAAGTGATCGTACACAGTCAGGGCCAGAAATGACTGGATTCAGGGCCTCCCTGGTGATGCAAGGGGTTAAGACACAACCTATGAAGCTATCCATGGCCACTGCAGCACAAGTTCAATCCCTGGCCAGGGAGCTACCCACAGGGTGCAGCAGACCTCTCCTGTCTCCCCCACTGCTCCCCTCAGCAGTATATTTCAGTCAGTCTGCCTGTTCCGTTCCCCACTCTGTCTCTGGTGAATCCTCTCACCTCACCCCCTGGCCTGTACCCTAGTTCTTATATGCATAAATAAATATTTTTTTTAAAAAAAGCAGAAGGCAGAAATCAGAGTGACCTTTCCATGCCCTCAGGAGATGACCGACTGCGAACAGCAGGCATCATCATTTTATCAGTGTGCTCTGGGGTTGGACAGTCTCATAATCTGTTATGAAGAAGGGGGCTGTTTACTCAAAGTGTAGCCTAAAGATGGGCAGTCTTAACATGCAGAATCTCAGGTGCCAGCCTGCACCTGCTGAAGGGGACACCCATTCTCCAGAGACTCCCAGGCAGCTCCGGTGGCTGGAGAACGTGAGAAGAGTCGTTTTCCTCTGCCCACCCCACAGGCCACTTTGTCATGGGCTCTCATCACAAACCTTCTCAGCTCACCACGACCCTATCAACCTCACTCCAGCTTTATTTAGCTCATGATGGATGGCGTTACCTTGCTTTGGAACAAAGTCCACTATGAAGGACTATTTCACAGTGATGTCGATTAGTCAGCCAGAATGCTTGAGGGGTTCCCACATTCTGGGCTTGCTTTTGACAGGGAGATGTGAGCAGGACTCCAGCAGACTCAGAAGCTCAAAACACTGCCCCAGAGGCACTGAGGGTTGGGTTTGCAATCTCTGCTGCCACTTTGCTCTGAGTTAAAAACCAGGACCCTCGCCCAGCAGGCAAAAGCCACAGGCTTTAAAGCTTCAGTGAGAATCACTCTGCATTCACAGACTGCTAATCAGACTTTGAAATTTAACCTCTTTAACATCCCCTTCTTACCAGGAACTACTGCCTTGGAAACCAGCTCCCTCTTTTCTATTTCGGCCTCCCTCCTGTGAACCTATAAAAACCACACCAAACAGACAATTGTCCAGGCCATTAAAATACTGGCCGATATTGTTGACTACCAGGAATTTCTCAGTGCTGCTGGCAATGCATTGCTCAAGCCTGCCCCTTCCCCACCCAACAGCTTAAACATTACAGGCATAATGACGAATTCTGGCTTGCTCAAAAATACTTAAAATCCCCAGACAGGAAACCTTAAAATCATAAAGTGAAGACAGACTGGGCAACGGTCATTCTGACAAAATTTAATCTTGAAGCTCAGGAGTGCCTTAGACGTCATTTATATTTCACCTTCTATATGTGAAGGACTTCTATGTATGACAGTTGTTTTTATCATTGCAAAGTACTACCACAGCTAAACATGGTTTCCGACCGCTAAATCCCAAGTAACAATGGCTGGAACTACAGGCTTTTGAAGAAGAGAAAATCATGAGAACTTTATTTTTCCAGTCTGGGGTAGAGTACCCCTCAAGGGTGCCGAGTCCTGGCACTGCTGCTGGGATGAGATGCACCCAACCCCATATGAGGATCCTGTTCTTGGGTGGGGAAAACAACCACAGCAGCAGCAGATCTCATTATCATGCAACTATGCTTTGCAGACAAATGAGCACCCAAATTCTCTGGGTATATTCGCAGAGAGACAGACTGTGATTCAGCCTGAGGGGAGCACTGGGGTGAAGGATTAAAGGAAAGTTGGGGAGAGAGGCACCAGGCTACAAGAACAGCATAAGCAGAGGCTTGATAAGTGATGTGGGTGGTGAATAGTGGGGACCTGCCAGGGGTTCAGGAACACAGAGCCGGAGGCACCCCACTGCACACCTTTAGAGTGGCCAGTATGGGGAGGACTGGTCCTCCTGGGTGGCGGGAGGCTGGGAGCCCTGGGAACTCGTCTACACCACTGGAGTAGATGCAAAATGGCATGGTCGCTTTGGAGGCCAGTTTGGCCATTTCTTTAAAAAGTTAAACATATACTTTCCAAAGCAAAGATGGGCATGCCACTCCTAGGTATTTATCCTGGAAGAATGAAAGCTGAAGGCGTAGAGCACACAGAGATACATAGGAATGTTCACAGCCACCTCTTTTTAATAGCCTCAAACTGGAAACAACCCAATTTCCACCCACAGGTCAAAAGGTAAACAAACTGCGATACAATTGCACAAATGAACACTTTTCAGCAACAAGAAGTAAACTATCGCTACATGCTTCTTCATTAATCACGCTCAAAGAAGAAATCAGACCAAAACCAAACCAAAACCTGGTTCTACAGGATTTCCTGTATATAAAATTCTTGAAAATAAAAATGACTTTATAGGACAGAAAGCAGGCCAGTGGTTGCCATACCAGATAAGGACGAGGAAACCTTGGAGGGTGATGGACATCTGTGTTAATTATGGTGATGCTTCTAGGAGTAGGTTCATATTTCAAAATGTGTCAAATTGTACATTTTAAATATGCGCAAACTAAAAATATACACTTTAAATGAGTATATAGTGTGAATTATACCTCAAGATATCTGTTAATTTGTTAAGTTTAATGTCAATTCACATTGCAAAAAAGTGTTGTCTTACCCAGCCCTAGCCTGCATGACTTATAAACAGACATTTCTTACATGCTGGAGGATGGAAAGTCCAGGGTCAAATTGCCAGATTTAGTGTCTGGTAGGAACCCGCTTTCTGGGTCAAAGTGGGGCATCTTCTCAATTGTGTCTTCACACAGCAAAAGGGGTGAGGGCGCCCTCTAGGGTCTCTTACATAAGGGCACTAATCCCATTCATGAGGGTTCCACCCCCATGACTAAAGCATCGTCCAAAGACCACACTTCCTAATACTATTACCTTGGGTATTAGGTTTCAACATTTTATCATTTTAAATGTTCTGAAATTTGAGGAGCAAATGAGTGAGGTGGACAATGAGACACCAAGGTGAAGGGAATCTGGGTCTTTAGCCCACTTGGAGGTTCTAGGAAGAGCCCGGATCTGCATGTCTGGTAAATCCCTCTGATATCCTGGGCAGAGTGAAGACATCAAGACTAGAAGGAAGGACATCCTTTAAGAGAATATTGAAAAAACCAGGTGAGTGATCAAGGTGTGATTCAGGTTAGCAGAAATGGGGCAAAAAACAGATTTTCAAAATGTTTTTTTTTGTAGAAGAATGTTGACCAGGTTTCTAAGTGCAGGAGAATGGCAGATAGATGGAGTATGACCCAGGGGCGATCTTGTTTGTGGCAGTGCTTTCTAAGTTGAGAAGAGCTAACACATGGGTCTTTAAAAGAGATGTGTGGTTTCCCAGCAACACACTTGGCTTGCTCGGGGTTGTCGGCACCCCTGACATTTGGAGGGGAAGAGGTCAAGGACATGATGCCTTGCAACGCCCAAGACAATGCTGCTCCATGAACACTGTTCTTTGTGTCTGACGATACTCAGGTGTTCAGCCTGACGTGTAATGAACTTACTTGTAATCTGCTGAACTGAGCAGCTAACTCTGTTCTACAAGTAAACACCAAATATTTTTGTGCAAGGTTTGACTACATAGAGAAGTTTCACAATTACTGTGTAAACCAAGGGAAGACTGAATTTTGGCTTTTTGTGAACTTTATCAAGAATTGTTCATCATGTGGGAAACTGGGTCACGAACAGCAATGCTGTTTATTTGTTGTATTTGAGATTCTCATACAACACACCTGTGTCCCAGCCACTGCAGCTGGCACTCTTAGGGCATTGATAGGCTTGAGGAGCCTACAAGCCTAGGAAATATCCTAAAATGTAAACATGACCCAGCACTTGCTTATTTTAAAACTTATCTTTTCATTATAAGGCATTTATCTTTTTGTTACTTAGGTGAGATAGTCATATTAGCTATGAATGGCATTTAAAGAATGTAAAAGGAGTATTACCCTTAGAATATAAAAGAAGGGGCTATTTTGCTAAGTCTAGGAGGTAAGATACAAAAGAGTATGAATTCATTTATAGTCATTCCCCCTTGTCCTTGGTTTCGCTTCCAAGGTTTCCATTATTCTCAATCACAGACAGAAAATATTATACACAGTTAAGATATTTTAAATATGTGCAAACTAAAAATATACACTTTTATTACAGCACATGGTTATAATTGTTCTATTCTATTGTTAGGTGTTGGTAATCTCTTACTGTACCTAATTTCTATTTTTTTTAAGATTTATTTATTTATTTATACAAGCACTGGGTACAGTCAGAAGTGCGGGAGGGTGAGAGAATTCACCAGAGCCAGAGCGGAGAGCAGAGCAGGCAGAAGGACTGAAGTACACTGCTGAGGGGAGCAGCGGGCAG